ATCCATGGCCACGGCAGCACCAGCGAGGGGCTGTGGGCCAGCGGCGTGAGCCCCGTGCGCTCCCGTGGACCTGTGTGATACACAGAGATGCTTTTTTCTCTTTTCTTTCTCCCCCTTTTTCTTCCCAATGCCTCACCCCAGGGGAGCACGAACGAGGTAAGTGGCTCTTGTTCTCCGCATGCGACACCGCTCGGCTCCCGTGGGCTCCCGGGGACCGCGCCCAGATGCACGTTTCAGCCACGTCGCTGCCTTCGGGCTTGCGGAGGACGGGGCGGGGGCCACGAGGGCTCCGGGCCGCGGTGGCATCCTGGCCCTGCACCAGGACCCTCGCTGCCTGCTGGGCTCCGCTTGTTCCCCATCATCCAGATGCCCAGGAAAGGGGGTTAAACGTGCTGGAAGCCAAGTCGGGGAGAGATTTAGGTGGGGAGCGCGTTCGTTAGGACGAGGCTTTTCATCTTGCTCCCATCGGTTCTGTTCGGGGATTTTTGGGCCGAGAGCTCAGAGCAAAACACCAGTTTGTTTCGTAGCACCAACCCTCGCGCAGGCAGGGCGGCCGCCGAGGAGCCCCCCACGCTCGGCGAGGCCTCTCCGCTGCTGGAAGTGCCACGTGCCGCGTTTTGAGCAAAAAAACCCCCCACCTTATGCTGGATTAAGTGAAGGCAGCGCCTGGGAGACATCGTTTATCTCCCCAGCCTGTCGCTGGGGCAGCACGGCGAGTCCAGCCCCGCTCAGCCCGCTCGGCAGGGGAACTGCTCCAAGGGGAGCCGGTCCCTGCCCGGCGCTCGCTGCGGGGAACCCTGCGCCGACAGCCGTCAGCAGCCCTCACCAGCATCCAAGGGAAGCAAAAAAAGGCGTAGTTACTGGGCAGCCTTACAGCCGAGGGCCACCCCAGTCTGGCCAAGGTGCGTGACAAAAGACAGCGGCGTCTTTTATCGTGTCACCAAAGCCCGACGGCTCCAGCTGCGTCAACACATTTCAGCCACCGAGTTATGGGGTGGGTTCCTCTGAAAAGAAAGTTGGAGCAGCTCTCACAAGGCCATTTAAATATAAAAAAAAGCCGTTAAAAAGGAAGCCATCCTTCCCCAGCAGCCAGCCCAAGAGGGCTCTTTCGATACCAACCGCTGAGCAGCGAAAAGCTTGCCGGCCTCTGGGTCTGTGGGCTTCGCTCCGGCTTGTGCCGCAGCAAGAGGCAGCGCAGGGGCTTGAACAGCTCTTGTAAAAGTCAGCTCTGGGAAACTGGTTTGGCATGGGAAAAATAGCACAACATGCTGCACGGTTGCTCACGTAGGGTTTGAAGGCGTATTTTGAAGAGCCCCGGAGGTGCTGCATGAGGGCTCCTCCACCAATCCACTACATTCCCAAGCAAAGCCCCCACCACTTGCTCGCAAAGCCCCACCCTTGGTTCCTACGGCCCGGTGGGGATGTGGCCAGCAGCGCCTTAAGCACCCCTGGAGCCTTCACACCACTCTCCCCGCTGCAGCCTCGCCGGCTCCGTTCCACACCGGGGGGCCAGAACCTCACCGCGGCCCCGTGGCTGTGCTGTACGGGACACGCAGCCCACGGCCACGCTGACCACGCGCTGGTACAGGTACCGCAGCTGCTCCTGCTTGGGCTGACCTTGGGGCTGAGCTTTCGCCCTCTGAACCCCGTGAAGACCCGTCCGAGGGCGGCTCACAGGGCTGCTCTGCGGGGCCAGGGGTAGGCACAGGCAGGAGGCTGCGGTGCTGCTGTTTGGGAGGGACAGGCTTGTCTGCCGGACAGGAAAATGCACTTGGATACAAATGGAAAATGGTAAAAATTAAAGGGAAAAAAACCCCACCTGCATTTATCTGCAGAAGAAGGATCTAGACAACCCAGGTACCCATGACATAGCAAACCCTCTGTGTGATGAGTTATGTATGTGCCTGGTGGTGTAAAAATGCTGAAGATGCAGAGATTTATACTGTATGTGTGATAGAGCAGCCCTGGGGAGAAGGACTTGGGGTGCTGGTGGGTGAAAGACTGAACGTGACCCAGCGACGTGCGCTCGCAGCCCAGAAAGCCAATGGCCTCCTGGGCTGCATCAGGAGCAGCGTGGCCAGCAGGGCGAGGGAGGGGGTTCTGCCCCTCTGCTCCGCTCTGGTGAGACCCCCCCTGCAGGGCTGCCTCCAGCTCTGGGGGCACCAGCACAGCAAAGACACGGACCTGCTCGAGCGGGTGCAGAGGAGGGTCACGAAGATGCTCAGGGG